TGGTCCTGGTACACGGGGTCCGGTTTTGTTTCCGTCAGAAAATGAGGTGGTCCTTGCTCCTGTTCAGGATCACCTGCGCTGGGCTCTTGACTTCATTTACTGATGTTATTGGTCTCCCCCTTTCTCACAGGGACGCCAGGTGGATCAGCACAGAGTGAGTCCAGGAGAGTCGACAGGATGGGGAATTCAATAAACCATGCAATAGAATTAGGATTGTAGAAATATGGAACCAACCAGAAATCTGAAAATAGAACTGAAGCATAAGTATTAACTTGACATGTTAAGCGATGCAAAAATTATATAGTAGGATCTTACTGTCAGCAGGAGGCAGCATGAACTATACACCACAGTCCCTGTACATCACAGTCCCTGACCATTTACCCAAGTATCTTTCTAGGCCATCTTGTTACAGTACAGCCCTGTTGCCTGCATAGAAAAGCCCTCTTGATCTTGAATAGTTCAGTTTTGCATAGTTTGCAGAAAGCCAGGAGACGGGGAGCCCACGACAGAGAACACACATGTATGGGCAGTTGTTGTTTTTGCCCATTTGCAGGTCAGCACCTGCAGAAGGCCCTGCTCAAAGCTGTCATGTGGGAGCACAGGGGGAGGGGCACTCCTGCCATTGTGAGGGACCAAGGCAATAAAGGGCTTTGTATATGGTAGCCAATACCTTAAATAGAGCCCAGTAACTAATAAGCAGCCAATGCAGTGACTGCAGAACAGGAGTATTCTGCATTCTCCATCTAAGTCCCGATAATAGCTGAGCCGCAGTGCTCTACCCCAACTGGAGTCAGCAGTATACACTCCTCCTTAGATACGGAGCAGTTGTACAGTGACTAGTTTAATCATTACCTCAGCAGGATCAAAAAGATGATACCCATTGGAAAGGTGTGCTTTTGTTGTTGTTCAGTCTCACAGTCGAGTCCGACTCTTCGCGACCCCATGGACCAGATGCCACCAGGCCCTCCTGTCTTCCGCCGTCCTCTGAAGTTTGCTCAATTTCATGTTCGTTGCATCTATGACACTGCCTAACCATCTCATCCTTTGCCGTCCCTGTCTTCTTTGACCTTCAATCTTTCCCGGCATCAGGGTCTTCTCCAGTGAGTGCTCCCTTCTCATTTGGTGGCCAAAGTATTTGAGCTTCAGTTTCATTATCTGGCCTTCCAGGGAACAGTCGGGGTTGATTTCTTTTAGGATTGACTGATTTGCAGTCCAAGGGACTCTCAAGAGTCTTCTCCAGCACCATAGTTCAAAAGAATCTATTCTTCGGCGCTCGGCCTTCCTTATAGTCCAACTCTCGCAGCCATACATGACTACTGGGAATACCATTGCTTTGACCATGCGGACTTTTGTTGACAGGGTGATGTCTCTACTTTTTATCATGCTGTTTAGGTTCGCCATCGCTTTCCTCCCAAGGAGCAGGCGTCTTTTAATTTCATGGCTGCAGTCCCAGACTGCGGTGATCTGGGATCCCAGGAACGTGAAGTCTGTCACTACTTCCACGACTTCCCCTTCTATTTGCCAAGGAGTGATGGAGCCAGATGCCATGATCTTAGTTTTTTTGATGTTGAGCTTCAAGCCCACTTTTACCCTGGGCAAGAGGCTCTTTAGGTCTGCATATCTGAGGTTGTTGATCTTTTCCCCAGCAATCTTAATTCCCGCTTGTGATTCATCCAGGCCAGCATTTCGCATGATGTACTCTGCATATATATTAAATAAGCAAGGCGACAATATACATCCTTGTTGTACTCCTTTTCCTATGCTGAACCAATCAGTTGTTCCATATCCGGTTCTAACTGTTGCTTCTTGGCCCTTATACAGGTTTCTCAAGAGACATGTGAGGTGGTCTGGTACTCCCATCTCTTTAAGGACCTGCCATAGTTTGTTGTGATCCACACAGTCAAAGGCTTTAGCATAGTCAATGAAGCAGAAGTAGATGTTTTTCTGGTACTCTCTTGCTTTCTCCATAATCCAGCGAATGTTGGCAATTTGATCTCTAGTTCCTCTACCTCTTCGAAACCCAGCTTGTACTTCTGTGTGCTACTCTGGAGAAAAATATCTGAGCATGATGGAATTATTTTATTATCTCCATAGGAGCTTAGAGCCTGTAACATTTTTCCTCAAAGAGTAAATACCAGAATTGAATAGATCTTGTAATCTTGAAGTGGATATGATATCTACAGTTCACACCACGATCCCCCATTATTATGAAAAGAACCCCCCACACACACACTTTAAAACTACAAGCAATCAGCAATAATGAGTAGTCCGGCACAACAGCCGGCCAATTAAAAAGAGCATTAGAGAGCTTGATTCACTAGTTTGCTCCCAGAAGCAAATTCCCATTTTGCCAGTGGAAGTAAAATGGAAGAAGGTCCCACTCTCTACTTGTGTCTTTGATCCTGCTGGAATACTGCAAATCATCAACTGAACAAAAGTAGACTACAAAAGTGTTTTACCAAACTACTTGCTTCATTTACATATTTATTGCAGTCTTATTGGGAAGCTCACAGATCAGACTGCTTCAAGCTGTTGTGTTTCCTCATAGAATCAAAGTTTTTCCAGATTATTATAGTCTAAGATTCCACAAAGTTTGTGCATGCAGTGGGAGATATCCTGTATTTTACATGGTTTAAGTAACATGGCGTGCACTTTTGTTGGCGAGAAAGAGTAGAAGACAATGTTCCAGGAGAAATATCTGAGAGTGTAACGGAATGCTTTAAAAGGCAGTGGTCTGGCTTTATGGGAGTAATCCTAAGAGAATGTTCCAGATTGGTCTTTTGTGCAAGGGGGTCAGTAAGCCAAAGACAGGAGGCCATGAAAAGTTAAATTTATCTTTGCATCATTAGGGTGTCCTAACAAATGGCAGGTGAGCTTGTGAGCCTGTGCCTGGATTGTCCTAGTTCAAGACTACAGGAGTGTTTGTGTAGGGGGGGGGGATGTATTCAGGAGACATGACTCTAACCCAGGGCTGCCAACCTCCAGGTGGTGGCTGGAGATCTCCCACTATTACAACTGAACTCGAGATGACAGAGGCCATCTTCCCCGGGGAAAATGGCTGCTTTGGAGGGCGGGACTCTGTGGGCATCACGTCCCATTGAAGTGCCTCCCCTCCCCCAAGCCCCGCCCTCCCCAGGCTCCACCCCCCCGATCTCCAGGTATCTCTCAACCCAGGGCTGGCTCAACCCTACTCTAGCCTGAGAATTTACTCCAACATTTCAACTGTTCAGACTGCACTGCACTGCACTGTTTGTGACCTGGAACACAGCAGAAAATTCATAGCTGGCAGAAAGGAGAGTTTGGGGGAAGGAACCATCAAGCCTCAAGCACAGAGCTCTCAAGCTCTTGGTTATGCTAATTACTCTAGTGGATATGAGACAATTAATTATCGTATGGCATTGCGTGTAGAATAGCCAGGAGATCTGAAGATCGTCTGGCAGCTGCAAGTTCTAGCTCTTAGCGTTATGCTAGTGGTGAGCGAGACTTGTTTTTAGGGGCTGAGAGGACTCTGAAAGAACTGTGATGGGCCCAAGGTCTCCCAGCTGGCTTCATGTGGAGGAGTGGGGAATCAAACTCCAGATTAGAGTCTGCCACTCTTAACCTCAACACCAAACTGGGTCTGTAAGACAATAGTTTATTATCTCACACCTTGGTGTAGTGCTAGAACCAAAGAAACAAAGTTAATGACAGCCAAATTACTAGAATCTATTTTTTTCCTCTTGAGGAAGAAAGCTGTCTCTGTGTTATGTGTCCTCAGACATTTCTGACTTATGGTGACCCCCAAAACAGTCCTGCCCTTGGGAGCCTTGCTCAGGTCTGGAAGACCCCCCCCCCCCGGCCGGCTGAGCCAGTCCGTCTCACGTTGGGCCTCCCCCTCCTTGCGTGCTGCCTAGCTTTTCCAAGCATTACGCAACACCCAAAGGGACAGAGATGTGGACAGCCAAATGGCTAGAATATATTCTCTTCCTCTTGAGGAAGGGAGATTTCAACAATCCCAAGGTGGGACAAATTCCCCGGTGGGGGGTGGGGGTGGGGGTGAATGACAAATTCTCAAGCCTTGAGGAAGAAGCTCTTGCCCAGCAAGGCACAAGCCATCATGCAGGACTCCATCTTGCTCACATGGCCAAGGGACAATGGAGGAAAGTCCCAACTCTAAGAAATAAGGTAACTCCGAACTTTAAACTATTGCATCTTAAAGGAATACTAGCCTGTCCTAGCTAAACATCATTTAGGATAAGTTCCAAGTGCAGGGAAAGGAGACTGCCTGTTCTGTACACTTGCTCAGCTTGAAAGCTTGAACAGACTGTGCATATTATTTTTATTCATTTATTAAACTTTATTATACTTTGAATGCTCTACCAGGGGAAGGGCAGATGGTAAGCTTTCCACCCCTGGAGCCTAATAGCTCAAACGTGTGCAGTTGCAACAGATTGTCCCGTGCTAGCTGGCAGGAGGGAAGCAGGAGGTGTGGCAACCAGGTGGAACCTCTAAATGGCAATGCAATGCAGGTAGAGTGTCAAATACACAGGCCCATTTAGCAGGAGATATTTTCAGAATTGCTGGCAGCAATTACGACCCGGTTTGTTCTTGGTCACTCCGGGAACCAAGAGGAGCATCGCTGAATGGAGACTTGGGGTGGCTGCTTGAAGGAATGAGGGAAGCCTTGCAAGTCTGTTCCTTCACACAAAGCTACATACAAAACAACATCCTGTCAAACTGGAAACAAGATTTCAGAGAGAAGTCTTCTAATGAAACTGCCTCTTTGACATGCTAGTTGTCTGTGTTCAGGAAATGTATTACAGGGAGGAACATTAAATCAGCTGATTACCCACCTACCATCTAAACCCAGACAATTTTACCACCTCATCCACCCTTTGTGATTCAACTAATTCTAATTCAACTAATAAATTGATATGAGTTCTTGCCCTAATAAAGCTCTCACCCAAAATTTCCTCCAGCACCCTCTTCCAGAAACACATCAGTAACACTCCAGTAAGCTGGTATGGTCACTTTTTATTCCTTATCAAGCAGAAGGAAACGTAAGAGGCTGGCAGGCTTGTTGCAGTGGGGTTACACCTGGGAGAAGAAGGACCCTGACAGAAACGTCCTTTTCAGTCTATCATATACATGAGCACAGAGGGGGGGGGCAAATAAGTTGGAGAGAAATTAAAGCAGAAGGGAAACCCGACCTCAGCAAAAGGTGGACATGGAATTTTTGTTTAAGTAATTGGTTAAAATGAAGAGGGATCTGAAGACCTCTGCGCATGCACCACAGCCAAGCCAAGCATCATGTGTAAATACTACGAGATGAGCCTAGGACAATCCTACGGGCGGGAGACGTGTCACCCTACAGACAGAAAGTGACAGGAGCAAGAAAGAGGACGTTATGACGCCTGTGGATTGTTGATGCGTCCCATGAAGATGGGGAACCTCTTCTCATTCACTACCACAAAGATGAAGGGCTGCTGCACTTCGAAGAAATTGGCTGTGCGTGCCAGGGAAATGGCTGTGGCAGCAGCTGCCTCCACTCCTTCCTCATTGATTTCCATCACGGCTCTGTGCCGGGCACTGGACACGGCCAGTTCTTCGTTTTCAGAAATCCCACACAGGTTGGCATCGAAGAAAATACCATATGCTAGAGGGGAATAAAGGATGGGATGAATCAATGAATATCAGCTCAGATGATATGTGAACCTAACCCTAACCCTTTCTTGGGAAACGCATGACAGAAGCCTGGAATCTCAACCAGGACGACATGGGAACCGATCCCTTAGCCTAGGCCTGGACAGCTTCTGTGCTACTCAGCCACAGCAGCTTGTAAGCTCCGAGTTGGTGTACCCTCACTGCAAGGCCCTGTAGGGGATGCCCAGGGTTCAAATGATTTTCTATTGATTATTGTTGATTTTGGAACCTTTGGGACTCTCCTGGAGAATTAACAATCAGTTAGAGTTGTAATATCTATATGTATGTTGGCCGATGTGATGACATCAGTTCCGTGTGACATCATCACTTTGGGGACGACACCGTGTGACATCACTGTTTTTTTTGGGGGGGGCTTCCCCTGCCAGGCAGCTGGCCAGCAGTGAGCAGAATCCCCAAAAATCAGGGGATCCCTTACCCTGACCAGTGTGGGAACCCTAGATCTAAGATGTGTCAAGTAGCAGATATCAATGAAATGGAATATATATTAGGGGGGGGAGAGGTATCCAGAATCAGGGATGGAAAGTGACCTCTTCCTCATGTATCAGGATTTCTCCTCATTCCACTGTGAAGATCTTTGATTTATCTCACACTATAAGCTTTTTCAGTTAACTAGAACTGCTATAATAGGTGTTAACCTGGGTCCCATTTTCTTCAGTGGGCCAAACTGAACCAGTAAGGTACATACAGAAAGGAATTAAACGGCTTACTGAGAAACAGCAATCAACATTTCATAAAATAAATTCCTAAAAAAGTAAAAAAGAATACCAAAAATGCCTTGAGCTTCCCCTTTCTTTTTTGTTCATTTTATGGTACATTGATCCTTGCGCTTCTACAGACCATTTAATTCATTTCAGTGAATCTATTGATTCTGTGAGTGCATTACTGGCTCAGTGTGGCCTATTGGAGTAAACAGGACCCAGAATAGAATGAGAAACCTGTCATATGGCTCTTGTTCCCCACTTCCCCATTTCCACTTGAAGCCACTGAATCAGTCCTCCTCTATGGTGCACAAACAGCTTCCTCAGAAAAAGACGAATATGAGTGAAAGGATGGGTGGGATTTCCCCCATAACTCATGAGAACACTGATGGCCCCTTTCTTCTTGCTTTCAACCCTCCCACCCCCTATTTCACCCTTCTTACCCATCTCTCCCACTGTAGACATGAGGTCCAGGGAGGAGTCCGCCCTGAACCTGGGAATAGTCACCACCGTTGGTTTGAAAGGGGTGTGCTCCAGCTTGGCCACCATTGACTTGAAAGTATCCCCACTGAGATGCTTCTCCACGTCAGAAAGATTCTGCGACAGGGATCGAGGCAGGATAATGACCAGACTCATGTTGTGGGACAGCTGCAGGCGACCAACCTAGGAAAAGAAACTGTATTAACTTTTTATGTCTCTTCTACATTCTTATGCAACATTGCTTTAAAATGAATATTTCCTCCTTCCTCTTCTTGGCTTAGGGTTTGCAAACCACAGATGCTTCTGCAACTTTGTGCTTTACAGCTCCCCCCTTTGCAAGCTATTTGGAGGGGTTGTGTGGGTTCCCTAAGAAATCCCTAAAATTGCTCATATGGTATATGGTAGTTTAAAGATGTGTCCCACTTCAGTAGTAGGAACCTGTGCTATTCAAGGATGTTGCCAAGGGAGGAATGACACAGGGCCAAAACAGACTTGGTGCTCAGAGGCCCATGGTGAGATCTTCCCAGCATTTTTGAAAAAGGCAATCATTATTGAGCTTGGCTCAAGTGTAGACTGGGCCCATGATCCAAAGGGAGAAAGGGTTTAATCCATCTACCCCTGTGTGGCATCATTAATTGCACTATCATCTCCACCTCCTTTCTACCAGTGTGTGTATGTTTGGGAGGGAGTTCATTTCAACTGATGAAACCATGAGAAGGTATGGACCACATTCCCAGGGACCTTCTCTGGAATAAGTTGGATAACATGGGTTATAAATGCTTATTTTTCCTTATTCATAAAATGTATTCCATTAATAGCTGTCAACAGTGGTACAATGGCTTAGGTGGACTAACTTCAAAAATCTCCTCCAATCAGGGAGTCAAACAGGGTTTAATTTATTTCTGAATGATTTGGCTCCCTCCCTAAATGCTATTGATGGTCATCCCCCTAAACTTGGGTCACCTGCCGTTCCTTCATTGCTTTATGCTGCTGATGCTGTTATGTTACCACGCTCTCGCAGAAGGGCCTCAAGCGCCGTCTGTTTGCCTTCACCTCCTATTGTGAGGCAAATTCTCTGTCCATAAACTATGCAAAATCCAAAATTTTACTATTCTCAAAGTCCTGGAAAGCACAAAGCTGGCGTGTCAAAGGAAATAATATCGAACAAGCAAAATCCTTTAAATACTTGGTCCCCCCCCCCCCCAGTACAACCATAACTGGCTAGAGCAACACAAGCAGTCATTTCAGCAAGGTGTACTTAGCCTGCAGTGGTTAGCTTTTTTTACAAGAAGGGCAATCAATTTGTCCCAGCTGCCACTCGTGTCTTTAATGCCAAAACAGTCTCCCAGCTATTATACGGGATCCCCATTTGGGTTAGTGCCTTCAACACCCAGCTTGAGAAAATCCAGGCAATGTTTTTACGCCATATTTTGGGGGTCCCCAACTGTGTTAGCTATGCTACATTGTGCTTAGAGACTGGAATGCATCTGATAGAGACTAGGACATGGCTACTAACCTTAAAGTTTTGGCTACACCTACACTTTAGGGCAGAACCTGCTAGCTATATTCATATGATGCTAGCTGATTCCTTTGTTTCCAATTGGTATAGTCTGATTCAGATTTGGACAACCTATGTTAAGTGAAACACAGGCATTCAGAACTTTAAAACAGAGGATTTTAGACATTGAGAAACAGACTTTCTGTTCTCTTGAACGCAAAACTTGCTCCCCCTTGTCATTTGGTATCTTTTCAAACTATGGACTGCCTGCCACTTACCTTTCCCAGATTACCTCACCCCAGTTATGATGCTCTTTTATGTTAGCAGAGGAAGGCACCTTGAAATGGTAGCCCATATTTTACTTCATTGTGATTTTTATGGGGAAGTCCAGAACTATATAATCAGACCTTTTGTGTCTAACGTTCATGGTTTACCTGAGGCGAAGTTAGTATCCTTTTTACTATCTGACCGATGTCCCCATATTACAAGTTTAGTTGCAAAGTACCTTTTGGCTGCCATAACAATCAGGAACAACACCAGCCACCACCATAGGGGTGCCGGTAGGTTACCCCACCCCACAACACATGTGCCCCTAGTTAGAAGACAATAAAATGGTGACTAGCACCGACGTGTAAGCCGCTCAGAGACCCCTAGACAAGGGATTCGAGCGGGATATAAAGTTGAACGAATAAATAAATAAATAAATAAATATGTACAGTTACTCAATATAGACAAGGGACTAACAATGTTTTGTAGGGGATAGGGAAGACAACATATATTCATTTTAATTGCACGCGCCGTCACTGCCCAGTGTAGATGTCTTCTGGCTGGCTCCATCATTTCCCCGCACGGCTGCTTGCTGGCCAGGCTTCAGGACCTGTATGTCGATCACCACACTGCCACCACCTGGCCCGAACATCCATTGCAGGAGTTCTTTTCGTAGCCGAGAAGCTGTTTCACCTTACAAGCCTCGACCAGGATGTCCAACCATCAGCTAACGCCCTCCCACAAGGGAGATTGGCGTGCCCACCCTCTCTAAGGAGTGGTTCCCATTTTATCTACTTGCCAAAGCTTTTGAATCGCTGGGTGGACGATGAGCTGGGGACAACAGGCTGGCTGCTCACACCAGCGCGGGGCTTGAACTTACACAGTTCAGATGTTAAGACAGTGGGATATACCCACTGTACCACCGTTCAATTTTATGATTGAAATTTTCTGTAAATTTGCCATGTTGTATCTTTCTTCTTTTTTATGCCAATAAAGGTATTTGGATAGGATTGGATGAGAAGGTAGAATCATAGAATCATAGAATGTTAGAGTTGGAAGGGACCTTGCAGGTTATCTAGTCCAACCCCCTGCACTCTGCAGGAGCATATCTTGAAAGATAGCCCTACATACCTACAATACACCCAAAAGATGGTCATCCAGCCTCCGCTTGAAAACGTCCAGTGAAGGAGCATCCACCACCTCCCATGGCAGACTGTTCCACTGTTCAACCACTCTTACAGTTAGGAAGTTTCTCCTGATATTTATCCGGTAACGACTCCCTTGTAATTTCAACCCATTAGATCCAGCCTTACAATCCAGAGCAAGAGAGAATAGATCGGCTCCATCTTCTACATAACAGCCCTTCAAATACTTGAAGATTGCAGTCATGTCCCCTCTAAGCCTTCTCTTTCCCAGGCTAAACTGAAAAGTACGCAGACGGAGAATGATTTCAGCAAAGCATACTTTATTCGATCAGGAACAAGACGACTTTGGCCGGCTCACAGGCCAGCTTATATTCCCCAAGAAAGCGCCACCCAAAACACACACACCCCACTTCCCAATAGGTTATTTACAGTGGATGAGAGTCCCATTGGCTCTCGGCCAAGAACCTAGCCCCCTGATTGGAGCGGGCTAGGATCCGCATAGTCCATTGTCCCTTGGAGCGAAGCTAGACGTTTGTCTCTGGACTTGTCTGGACATGTTCGAAAGCAAGAAGTTGCAAGTAGATAAATAGGTACCACTTTGGTGGGAAGGTAACAGCGTTCCGTGTGCCTTGGTGCCACATGACCACGGAAACGTCTTCGGACAGCGCTGGCTCTTCGGCTTGGAAACGGTGATGAGCACTGCAACCCTAGAGTCGGATTCGACTGGCTTTTGAGCAAGGGAACCTTTACCTTTACTAAGTCAGGATTCACTTTTTGATATGAAGAAGCTATTTTTATTACTATCAGTATATCAAATTAACAATGTTAGTAGTAATGGGGTATACACTTCATTTAGTCAATCCTTTTGACAGCTGCCCCATCCCCCCAATGCGTAGTGGAAGTCCCGCCTCCCTAAGGGCAGTGCTTCAAGGTGGTGGGCAAGATGGCTGCTGGTGTCAGCCAGAAGGAATGAGGGAGAGTGTGCTAGGGGCTGTTAGCAGTGGTTTGTTGGGGAGAAGGAGACTGGTACAACGGCAGCCATTTGTGTGTGTGTGTGTACCACAGGGAGGGAAGGCTAAAAAAGAGAGAATGATTGTGCTTGGTGCAAACTTCAGACAGTGGGGACAGTTAAGCAGAGAGACTTTCCAAGGGAAGCATGTGTGCAGTTTGTTTTATTTTTAAAAATGTGCTGAAAACTGTGTTTGGTTGGAGGTTTCAAACTTGCTGGCTCTCTCACGCTGGAGGCTCAGTCTGGCAAGAAGGGGGGGGGAGGTTTCCTTCCCCTGCTTGAAAAAAAGGAGAGCTGAAATCAGCACGCTCCCCCCCCCCAAGTCATTTCCCCCTACACCACAACCTCCCCCCTGAGAAAAGGGAATGACTATTGGTTCTAACGTGTATCTAGTAACAGAAAGATGTTTTCCTAGAGGCTGCAAATAACTTTTTTAAAATTTCCAAGACATTTGGCCGTCTCATTCCAAAAAGGAGCCTTTTTGGAAGAAAAATACAACTATTTTAAAATTTAGTTTGGTAATTCTAACGTCTCAGGACTTTAATTTAAATTTTCCAGGTTCCTCAGCCCTGTGAATAGAAGCTCGTGGCATCAGAACCGGTGTTTGGACCGGGCATCACTGTATGTCACCTTGCAGGGCCCAGTCCCCAGAGTGTGGGGATGTGTCATTTGGGGTTGTCCAAAGATTGGTGGGGGGCATTCTGGCCCCAGTGTCTGCCTGTGTGTTTGTCCTGGGGGCACCGCACTTTGGAGCAGCTGGCACCGGAACCGCGCTTTAAACCAGCACACAGAATGTGTCCCCTGGAAGGGGAGGGTCCGCTGAAGATGGGGGTGTATGAAGTGTGGGGGTCCAAACCTTATTTTAGGTGCAGGGGGCACTTCCTTATTCAAATCTCCTTTGAAATACAGGCCTCGGGGAAGCCCTGCGAATAGAAGCTCTTGGCATCAGAACCGGTATTTGGACCGGGCATCACTTTATGTCACTGTGCAGGACACCTTCTTCAGAGTGTGGGGATGTGTCCTTTGGGGTGGTCCAAAGATTTTTTTGGGGTGCAGTTTGGCCCCGGTGTCTGCTTGTGTAATTGTCCTAGGGGCACTGCAGTTTGGAGCAGCTGGCACCAGAACCGTGCTTTGGACCAGGATACAGCATATGTCCCCTCGAAGGGGAGAGTCCTGTGAATGTGGGGGTATATGATATGTGGTGGTCCAGACCTTATTTTGGGGTTCAGAGCTTTCCAACTCACTCTCCTTAGTGTTTCTGAATGACTACACGA